AAAAATGACCGAATCGATGATTTGGACTCTCACAGCTGTATCTATCTTATTTGTTTCAAAAGAACGAAAGCATGTCTGTAGCTCGCGGTTGTGTGAATTTGTAGTAGACACTATCTAATATCCGTTCCGACTTATTTGTAGCTTATTTTGAAGCCTAGAAAACTGTCTATCTTTCTATATATAAAACGTCCCGGGTCTGAGGAGATGAGTTTAAGAAATATTCCTTTAAGGTACCAAGGCATGTCTGTGTTCTTGAACAACAGTTAACACAGGTGACCAATCCAAAGGACGGCAAACGGTTTCTGCTAAAGAAAATCGCCTGATATGATTTTGAGTGGAAATAATCGGAAATGCTTCCTTTTTTACTTCCCATTTTCAAAAGATCCTTCTGGTGTCTTTGAAAAAAAAATTGCGTGTCATTTTCGCCACCAGTTCAACAAAAGCCATTTACATTTTTCCGCAAATTTCTCGTCCGATTTCAAAGTCCTTGAACAAAGCGCATACATAGTAAAGTAGAGAATTTTCTTGGCTTCAAAATAAGCTATAAACGAGGTTTTCAAAAATATGCTCATACAGGACAATTGCCGAGATACTAACCAGATATCATCATTTTCACCTATCTTGGTGCCTTAAAGGAATATTTCTTGAACTCATCTCCTCAGACCCGGGACGTTTTATAGATAGAAAGATAGACAGTTTTCTAGGCTTCAAAATAAGCTACAAATAAGTCGGAACGGATAGTAGATAGTGTCTACTACAAACTCACACAACCGCGAGCTACAGACATGCTTTCGTTCTTTTGAAACAAATAAGATAGATACAGCTGTGAGAGTCCAAATCATCGATTCGGTCATTTTTAAGAAGATTTTCTCCCGGAAAATCACCCTACGATATTATTGGAGTACACCAAGTGTTCACAAAAAAATTACGCAACGTCCATGGCTCAAAAACGAAACACAATTTTGCAAGCCTATCACATGTTTTTCTAGAGGTGCTAGAGCCAATAGTTTCACATGGTTAGATCCGCTAGATCCTCAGCTTCGAAGTTACAAAAAGCTTTTCCAAAAATTCCTTTTCCTCACTGAGATAATTCGTGTTTTCTAGATCAGAAGAGAACCAATAAGAATTCTGCCCATAATTGTCAGTTTTCTCCACCAGAACTCAGTTTTATGCAATAAAAATACCATTGCCATCAAAAACTGAGTCGAATGGTATATATTTCAAAACCTTTCGTTGATTTTCAGTTTTTTCGAATTTTCATGCTGAAAAACTAATGAGATTTTCACGAAAGGTAAACTGTTTAGATTCTACTCAGGTCCGCAGTGGGCAACCATCCGAAAAATAGGTTAAAATCTATGCTCCAATTTTAATCTGGACACAAGTTTTTAATAGAGGCAATAAAATATTTGTGTAGCAAGTCAATCTAACTTACTGAAAGAGATTTTACATGAACAATTTAAATTTAAACTTTCAACATTCTAAAACTTTCGAACGATCAGTTTATACAAGATATGTATGTAATTGTTTAGGAATGTAAAACGTTTTCTAATTGGTCTTTTAAAACATCAGATGCTGACGATTCGGTTAATCTATTTATTAAGTTTAATAAATTTGAATAATTTTCATTATTCTGTTGAATATAATCCCATACTTTTAATGATTCTAATGTTTTTTCCTAAACAGATGGTAATATTTCAGTTGAATTCAGCTTAGCTTAAACAACATCATCATTCATATACATTATGATATTTAATGCACATTTTAAATCAAAAGTTCGCTCATAATGATAAAATGGTGAACATAATGAATTCAATGATAGATTAGAATAAAAAGTTAAAAATTCATGTCCAGCATATATAATTGTACCTGCTACTGGGAATTCTTTTGTTATTTCATTAATTTCGTATGAAGTAGCAAAACCAAAGTCGATTAGTTTTAATTGTTGAAGATTGCTACTGGTCATCAAATTTTGTGGACGTAAATCACTATGAATAACATGACAGTCATATAAATATTGAATTATATCAATACGTTGTTTTGATTGAACTAATGGTAGTGTTTGTATAACTTTCAATTCATTTTTGTTTATGGAGAATGCATACAAATCTGTCGATATACGATGACTCTCCTAAGATGATTAACATAAAAATATTTTGTTTTAATATCTTCAGAAAGTGTAAAAGCCATCAAAGATAGAAGCCTGAATTGATTAAACAAAAAGTTGACATCTCCGAAGAGAAACGTTTGAGGTAGAATAATAGCTACAGATCATCGAGTACAAACTCTCGAAAAGGACTCGACTTTTTGAATAAACTGTAAGTTTTCTTAATAAAACAACATTTTTATAGTTAAATGTTTTTTGTAAAATTTTTCTGTAAAGACAAAGAAACAAACAAATTATTATAAAAAGGATTATATCTTATTTCAGTGACCGGGAAATGGAGTTGTCCGAGACGAAAGTCTTTTCATCCCAGTCTGTTTCTCAATTAGAGGTATGCGCAACCGGGATTGGCTTTTTAAAAAGTCAGTCCCACAAAGTCTTCCTTTTACCCGAAAAACGTCGACTTTTTTCCATGATTTTTCATTCAGATTAAACATACTGGTAGTTGAGAATGAAAAACATAGTTTCATCTACTTCACGAAAAGGGTAGAAATATGACATAACGCTATTAAATTCGGAATCGCAGTGCCAAAAAACGATCCTCGACTAATTTTCGAGTGTCCTCGAGATTACACGTTGAAAATGTGTTTTCCCTCACGTCGATTGTGACGCCACAAAAAGTCATTTTGTGATATGGGCCCGGGTACACTCCAAACTTATTCGGGATCCTATTGTTGTATTGCAATTCCGAATTTGATAGCTTTGCGTCACATTTCTGCCCTTTTCATGAAGTCACTCATTTCATATGGAGAACAAACCATGATACAGTTATTAAGTAACAAAACACCAACATAGCACTGAAATTTCACCTTTCGGCGCCAAACAACAAAACATGTTAATATCGCATGAAAAATTCATGCTTCATCACTTATCGAATGTTCGATTGTCTAGAAGTATAACTTCATTGTTTGTTGTTTCTCTATTATTTTGAAAACCTGAATGGTTTAATTTGATTGACATTTTTTAATCTTCTTCTTCACCTTCATCTACAAA